CGTCACGACATTGCGAAGTGTCTGATCTTGTTCCTCGTATCGTACTCACTCGAGTCAATCCGAGATGTCAACGTAGAGTCCCAATCGAATACGGCAATTGTATGCATGACAAACGCGCTCTAGTGAAGTGAACTCGAGGTTTGCCGCCTGACGCCCAGAGTAGGCGACGGCCTAGACTAGAGATATCGGGCTAGCCTAGGTAGAGATATTGGGCTAGCCTAGGCATAGCTTTACTATACGAAAGGTTAGACGAAGATATTGCACTATTTTAGGCTAGGGTATTTATTTTCCAACATTTAATTCTAAATTTTCGATATATTTTTTCTTTATTTTCATGAATTTTCCAAAAATAAAAAATTTAAAAAAAATCAGGCGGGCGAAAAAAACGATGCGGGCGGGGACGCGAAACATGTTTTTTTTTTTTACTTGGCCTAAAGTTACGAATTTTTCCTCTTTAATTAAGTGTTTCTTTACTTTGTTTAAGCATCTACGTAAAATGGATTCACCCTGCCTTTCCTAGATAAGGCAATATAACCAGATATTAATCAAGCTATAATCAGTAGGCCTATGTATAAAATAACAAAGGTATAGACCAATATTGCGAACTGTCAATAGTGTTAGTATTAGAATATAAACCTAATTTATTACATTACAGGCTACATTATCATTTTTAAGTATACCTTGTAAACCTAGAACATATTGGAATGCCTCACAAGGTGGGAACATAAATGGTAGAAATACATAGGCCTATATAAAAATTCATTTTATTTACTTACGTTAATGTTACGAGATGATGCACAATAATGGCCAAAAGGCCTGCCAAAAAAGTTATAAAAAGTTTGTTCAACATTCTGAGTTTATTTTGACTAGGGGCCTACACCGACAACGTGCATAGAGTTCAAACGTAACAAAGAGTATAAAACTGCAAGAGGGACTGATTCGTTGGAACGCAAAAATTACACGAAGGGGCGTGGCCTTTAAAATGTTCGAGCAACGCGTACGATTTTCTATGCTGAATGTACCAAAGAGTATAAAACTGCAAACTGCAAGAGGTCCGACTGCCCTGATTTTGTATGCATCAAGGTTAGACTTGCCACAAGTCTCTAATTTATGGATTTTTCGTAGTACATTAGCGCATTTCGGAAAGCGCCACCAGCGTCAGTTTATGTTGAGAAACTTTTTTTATGAGAATTAGAAGTATACTATGGAACGCCATGCAAATAAGTAATATGGAACGCCATTTGTGCCAAAATCGATTTATTCTTAAGCATTTCAACTGATTAAGACAAAGATTAGGGACTGGAACCCAGTCTAGCATCAAGGTATGCAGGCAACCAATGAAACGTTAAAAGTACTGCCACGAAATAGAGGGCGCCCTACACATTTTAGAAAAAGTAAGCGTTATATGGCGATAAGTACAAAACCTCTACTTGTCAACCAATTAGATACCACTTTATTCATAAAAGATTTTTCAAATCACCCACAAAATAAATTTAAATGCCATAAAAGTTAAATAAATAAATTTTGATTTCCTTTGTCTTCGTATTAATTAAAATGTCTACGATCTGAAGAGGTATGCGACCCATCAATTTCCGCGACCCAAACATTGGGTCGTGAACGTAGGTTGCAGAACGGTGATAGGGTGAACTTGGCTTAGGCTATGTTCTCACACGGCAGCTAACAACCGTTAGCTGACGTGCGTCCATACGAAAAAATCCCGATCCGGAAGAATAATGATGATCGAATCACTGGCCAAAAGAAACTGGAAATTGTAAACGCGTACGTGCGATTGGTTGATGATAGAAACGCGCTCACTTGGTAACCGATAGCGCTTGCTAACCGTATTCGGGTACCGCTAACGGTTAGCGCTAACCGATCGGGCGTTCTCACACAGGTGCTAACGGTTAGCGCTGACGGTTAGCTCCTGATCCGGATACTAGGGCTCTCGTGAGAACCTAGCCGAAATCATAGAAATTGAAAGCTTATCCATATCGGGGTGTTATTGACAGGTGTCATGACTGGGGTGTTTGGCGATTGGGGAAAGAATGAAAAAGGATCCCCTTTCTAGATCGGATGCTCTTTGTTCTGAGCGTTTTGTGGTTGTAATTATGAAAGGGAAGAGGGAAAAAAGAAAAGTATCTTCGGAATTTTGGAAGAATTTTTGTCCAGGCATCCTTTTTGTTCTCCACACATTTTAGCGCCCCTGGGACATGAATTGATATGCACTCCCGTTCTCCCCTACTGGATCCGCGCGCCTGTGAGCTGCATTAAGGAGATTCTTTTGTCAACTTGAGACAGTCAGATGTCCTGCACTTAGATAAGAATGGGAGGTTGAATTTACAAAGAGCTTCTTCATATTAGTAAATTTACATTCTAAAATGATCTTTCATTCTCTTTTTTGAATGGCTTCAATAGCATTTGTGAGCATTGGTAATACCAGGGTACAAAACAATGGTGACAACTTCATTAGTGTTTAAAACCATATAGAGAGTTCTAATCCAAATTCAAAGCGGGGTCTTTCACCATGTTGTGTTGGGGTCTATGTTGACTCGCAAGAGAGCTCAAAGTATTCAATAGACTTTATGCAGTTCCTTGTTATCTTTTATTGTAAATCACCACCAATAGAATATACAAAGTGTGTTAACTCTATTAAGTCTCTCTTCTCTGTACTTTCTTTTCTGAATCTAAATACAGTATCCTTCTCTGTTCTAAGCATTCTTCTGATCACTTTGTAATGTAAACATAAAATGTTCCCTCTATCTTTATATCTCTATCTCTGTATATCTACCTAATAATTTCATTCTCTCTATATATGGGACCAAAGGGGACACATCATTGACTCATCATCTACCTGTTTAAGACTCATCAACTACCTGGGTGAATAACCTTAGTGACTTCCTGTAGTTGACCATAAGGTAGGACTGGAATATACCTTTTGTTGCCAATGTGGGTTTCCTTGGAATTTATACATGACATTAACAACTGAGTTGTACCATATTTACAGTATGTATGTATGCTGTCTCTTATACACATCTAGATGTGTATAAGAGACAGGTAATAGTAAAACTCGAGCGTCACGACATTGAATGAAGTTGAAAATTGTTAAATGTGCTTTTCAATGTTTAAATTGATTTTTTTGAGGAAGATGAAACAAACACAAAGTACTGTATAACACAGTAATTTATACCCCAAAAATAATTTTAATAGAATCAAATTCCCATAATTTACATGTTATTGTAAAAAATGTAAAGTTTTTCTTGCATATCAATACTTGAATTCAGCACAAATCATTTGATGACAATTTAATTTTACACTATACCCACTCCACAATATAATACAACATTTATTGTTCTATTTTTGACACTACAAATATTTTAACATTGTTACGCAATTGTTTAATTAAAAATTTGTGAATTTTAGAGGTAGTATTATTTTATTTAACTGACCCAATTAGCAGCCATAATAATGTTACATGATTTAACAGCAGTATTACATAATTGCTTTAACAGAGACTCATAGTATTACTAGTTATGTGATCACAAACTCAATGGAATGCAAATTTAAAAAGTATTTCAAAGTCAGAAGAAATGATTACACTACTAATTGAAGATGAATATATTAATTGCCTAAAAATATGCAATAAAACATTAATTTTGAAGGTAGTTTTCATAGCAATATATTATTATTAATTACTGTAACAATTACTGTAATAGTTTAATCCTGTTTTTCTCAATGGAAGATTGTTTTGACGATTGTATCCTTTTACTGTTCTTCAGTATTAGGTTGGCAGTAGCACTAAGTAAAACAAATAAGGTTGACAAAGATGATACTCTGGATTCCGCTACTATCAGTTTGCACTGATTATTGTAATATATTAGTTGTTATCCATTCTGTTACTTTAACGTACTGCTGTACATAATATTTAAACTAATTTTCTGTTTTGAAAAACATATCCCCTTGAAACCACCAGGTTACTTTTATGAAGAATGCATCAAATAAATAATATTTCTAAACAGAGTTTTTGTAAATAATTAAATTAAACCATATGACTAGTTTAGTCTTAAAAATCGTATTCAACAAGAGACAGAAAAATTGTTGTTGTGCAGCCCAAGCACAATGAACTTGAATATCAAGGTTTGGTTTGTCAGCAATTTTACTCTTTATTCCAATGATCTAGGCCTAATTCTAAGGTTCATTTCAAACCATCACTTATTACCCTATGTGTGTTGGTTGGCTAAAATTAATGGTTAAGATATCAACTTATTAATTAAAGCTTGAAACATCATACATGTACTTTGGGTTACTCTTTGGCAAAGCAAAAAAAAAATCCTAGATTTTTTAGATATTGGGTCAGTCTGACTTGGGCAACACAAAGGTTTCTTTGGCCTTATCAACAAATAATAGAATACTTTTAATATTAAAATATATTTTAATAATAACATTAATTATTCTCCCTTCTATAGCAATTTTACAAAAGTCAAAGTACTTAAAAGTGATTAACAGTAAGACATTCGATCTTTAATATAATATTTTAATTTATAAAAACAGTAATGTGAGAGTGTACTGTATATAAACTTTAGGTTAAAAAAAACACCAAAAATATCATCAAAAAATTAAAACACAAATTAAGTTTGTTTACAAGATAGTTTCATACTGTATCATGCAACAGCTGCTATTGGTAATTATACACCTTGAAAATAAGTATTATGCAAAAATAAATACTGTATTTGAAAAAAGAAATGTCCATCACTGCATTACATTCAACCATAACAATATATGCAATATATTAAACAAAACAAACTTAAAAAGCAAACAAAGTACAATTTGCCTGTCTATCACCACTACACGTTATTAAAAATTATATTATAATTTCTTGAATCATGGGGGAAAAGCATGCTTTTTGCAAAAACTTTGGGCCTGTAGTCTACTTCAAATTAGCAAATTTCATTATTAGTAACAGTAGTCGAAATAACCCACTTCACCAACTAACATTTAGAAGATGGATAACATTTTAGATTTTACTGCTGGGTAAACTATGCTGGTTAAAAATGAATGGACTAATTTTTTGGAAGAGTAAGACTTTCCTCCAGTAGTGTAAGGATCTCGTCAAGGTTCTGGTACAATACTGGTGACACAGATGTAAGCAAATATCGTCTTTGTGCATGAATTTTAATTCCTTACTTTGATCACATGACTTTGTTGAGGAGAGCATTAGCGACGTCCATGCTGCTATCATCAACAACAACTACATCGTACTTGCTTTTATACACCTCAAGGTTTTCAAACTGAAATGGAATCGGATTTCTTGTCAACGTGATGCATACATAAACAAATATTAGGCTACAAAACAAGCACAACCAACTGAAAATAGTGAAAATATTTTTTTTCTTTACAAAAGTAAGTCCAAAATGTTTGTATGATGTTTTATAAGGCTACATTTTTCAAATTCTAATTTATAAACTTGACAAATACACCATGTATATTATCCATGTGATCACAATACTACCAATCTAAACAGGGTTTGTGAGTGATGGCAAGCAATGATATGAATCCCATAATTAAGAATGGGCCTATAGAAAAAACATGTCACTGTGCTTGAGCAACAAACAATTACATTTTTTAGCCTCATTTCCAATTTAAATAGTAATAATTGTTTTTGCTTCAATAATTTATTAATACCTAAGGTAGAAATAAAGCATATAATTAATAATGAATAATAAAAAGTGGCTTACATGGCTATTCAAAAATCCAATTTTAAGGATGTTGTGAGCACTTTTAAGACCCTCCGCCATCTGAAGGTCGCCGATTGTGTCACCCATCAGGAGCACGTTTGTGCGGTTCTTGTTTCGTTCAAAATAATCTTGATTAATCTTGGCCATCTCCCTTTTGTTATATGTGTGGATTAATTTACCTTTGAAACCTACAAGTTGTCCCTGGAGTTAAAATAACATTAAACAAAATAAAGCGGCTTTAATCAAAATTTAATAATAATATAAAGTTCATTAAATAAAACATATTTAGAGATAATAATACAGTACTAAAACAGATTTACCTAAAATAGAACAATTAATAAAAAAAATAAAAAAGTTTAACAATAGTAGCAGTAATAATTAGAATGATGGTTAAAAACTTTGAATCTAATATAAAGGGCTGAAACACATTGATGCAGCTGTAAACACGCTTCAAACTACTACATAAAGAAAGAAAAAACTTTTTCAGGTGAATGATGGGATAGGTTGACCATGTGGCATGCCATGAGAAATGCTACATGCCACAATGTACCACATTCTAGTACAAGTTTCCCTGTAGCATATTTTCTGAATTACAATATAGTGCCAACATCTTTATGTATTAGTGATTTCCTTCTCTATGGCAGAGTAATGCTTCAGGAAAGGGTCCAAAATATAATAAAATAATAAAACATTCAAAACTTACATCTGTGTCAAAGTCCATTTCATTGGACATGACTGATATGTTGTCATGGAGGGTAGCTCGGTCCTTAATAACTTCATACAAAATATCTGCTATGCCGGCTGAAAACACTAACAATGGTACACTATTGTCTGCCAAAAGTTTAAATAACTGGTCGCAGCCTTCCCTGTGGATGAAAAAATGACAGTAATGAATTTATATACAGGACACAATAAGTTATTACTTTATATTTTGAAATTTAAAAGTAAATTTTTCGTATTAAATTATATAAAATGATTAATTGAATAATTTTATGATATCTTTAATGGATATTATAATAATTACCATAATTAAAGTCGTATGTATATGTATACGTGTATATATATATATATATGTGTATATATATACGTATATATATGTATATATATATATACTCCTAACTAACTCATAGGGTGAAAAATCCTTTGTCTACATTTCGCCTTAACGTTGTTAAAATTTCCCCTTAGAGGCAGTATTTTCGCCTTAAGGTATTATTTCTAACCCTTTCCCTTGTTACCGTTTCCCCCTATGGTAGTATATAGTCATATATATGTATATATAATATAATATATATATATATATAATATATTGTCAAATTTGTGTGGAGGTTGAAAAATACAGGGGGAGTCTTTATGGCCCAAAATAGTGATTTTAGACCACATTGGTAACGTAATTCGACAGGCAAATTACAGTAATATCCGACATCAAAAAAGAAATCCTTGACCCCTGGAACACCTAAATCCATGCACAAAAGCACCCATGTAGGCCAAAACACTGAAATAATAAATTTCAAAATGGTGGAAGGTGGCCATTTTGGATTTAGGGCATATACGGGTTATGCCCACACTTTTGCGAGGGACACCCAATTTATTTTTGTTATTATACCCTCAAGGAAGACAAATCCACTGAAAAACTAATTTAGCCTCTCCACGGTCACGGAATTGCCAGAAATGACCCAACTACATAATTAATTCTTTGTCTCAAGTCACTTCTGGCTTCAAAAATTCAATGCAGAATGTTTTTATTTCTGCAGCTCAATGCTGAAGCAGATAATCCCGACAGCTCAAAGGTCAATTACGTCAATGTGTTCCTCCGTTTTGATTGTCAGAATTTAAATTTCCTTTAATAAGTGCCTTAACTGCAGCCCCTTCTGGATATAAGCCCTAATGACATTTATTGTTATATTGTTGATAACCCAGATTTCTTTACTTACAGATCATTTGTAAATGGAATAATATTTACACAGCAGATAAAGTATATGGAGATAAAAATGGTAAAAGTCAAACCAACAACATAGAATGATAATCTCATTGGATTAAAAAAACAAACCCTTGTTACTACTTGTTCAAAACCTACCTCAACATAACGTCAGATTGTGCAACCATCTCAGTGACATCCTTCCTTGTCATTCCACTTTGTAAAAGTATAGTATGTGCCTGGGACCACCTTTGAACAATCAGCAAATAGAAGATTAAATATAAAATCATACATTTTTAAAGTATTGTTCACTAACAACTGTTATCATATGATGATAAAAAAATTTGAGAGAAGGAGTACAAAAACAGGCTAAGGAGAGAGAAGATGAGAAATATGATGGTTAGCAAAAAAAAAATTGCAAAAAATCACTGTAAGTTGAGTTTTTTCGCAACAATTAGTCATTACTCTATATAATTCAGTAAAAAATCACCTCTAGTTCATAGAAACATATATAGAGGGTGCCTGCAGTACAGGAAAAATTTTAAAAGGAATTATTTTCATATACCCGGTACTACGCGCAATTCAACAACATTTTTTTCTTCTGGGTAGTACCAGGTATGCGAAGTTAAAGGGTTAAACCACCTCTTGAAAGTTAAGGCAGCACCAAAGAAAAATGTTCAAAAGACAAAGAGATGGGAGCATTGAGAATGAGAGAATGAACATGGAAATGGTGAGATTCTGTTGTTCTAAAGGAAAATTTTAAAAATATATTTTGACGACATCACTCACCACTCTGTCATTAAGGTGTACTTTTCCTCATCTGATACACCTGAGGACATTTCCAATGGGTGATAATGAGCCCTCAATTCTTGAGCCTTTTTCTTGGATTCTTCAGAAATGACAGTGCTACTTTCCAGGATACCTGATGATGGCCAAACAAACATGACACACTTAGCAAGACTTAGAAGACACACATTTTAATGGGATAATGATGAAATAAGTACAGAGTATAAATAAACAGTACCTGGGTGTTGCTCAATGAAACAAAAGTATAGAGACTTCAAATAAAACCATAATATTATAGGCTAAAGCATTTAATAGAAAATATTTCAAATATATTCACCATGGGTTGTAGGAAGTACTTTTCCGTTGACATGATGCCTTGTTATTGTCCTATCAAAATCTGATATAACCTGAAATTAAAGTTTTTTAAATATTATTTAAATTTTACACTTAATAATTTGGAATCAAATCAACAGACATTTATTATACAATCCTAATAGAATACAAATACAGCATGATAAAATGAAATCAACCAAACTAGATATGGAATTTAAGACAGTCACATGAAGACTTAGAGCATTTTTCTCATTCATCTGTGAACCATTTAATGTCAGCAGAATTGACGATTACAAAAAATTACAGAATAAGTTAACTAGTATTGGCTCTTTGAATATTTGGGAATATTATATTTCTAGTGACGTTGACACAAAATTACACTTAGCTTTGGGGGAATTGAAGATTACAAATTTTTAGATATTACAGTTGAAATAGCTTAAGATATTTTCTGTAAGACTTATGTTAAGAAGGAATGGAAACTTAGAAATGATTTACAGTGATTAATCTTTATTTTCTTTAATTTAGATTTAATGCACAATTGGGCTACTGTAAATTGTTGTTGTTTGACAGAGCTTTTTGTTATATTATTATATTTAATTTTGTTTTCCCATGATTGTTTACTGTATGTTGTGTTAAATTTTGCTAATTATTTAATATTGGTTAAAATTTCATCTTGCGATGCACCATATGCATGGTTCTCGGAGGGAAACGGTGAGTGGTTGGGGGGTTCTCAGCTTTTCAGATTGCATGCCTCGGTCCCCTTCAGGAGAATTACTTCTCCTGAAGATGGTTGAGGTGTGCTGTTCAGGGCGTCGAGTGGTACTCAGCTATTCATCAGGTCTTTTTTTGGGTTGTCTGCATGGTGTCTCGCAGGAATTCATTTAATGTTAATTATTTTATTTTATTTCATGTCATTTCTTTTGTCTGTTTTTTCTTGGATGCACAGCCCACATGGTTTTGTGCCACTGCACTGTTACAAAAGTGTCATTCCAAACGAATTATATTATAAATAATACTGGCATTTCACTACACTGTACAGCATCAATTTGTATTCATTATTATTGATAACGATTACATAATATAGTTCTAACCATCTGGTGAAGATTTTCAATGTAATAATTATTCATGCATGGCCTGGTTACAATATGGCATGGATGATAATTTGTTTTTTTGCATCCATTAAGATAAAAAAATACCACAATGTACCTTCATGTACATTAAAATAATGTAATCAATATGCTGATACTTCTTGAACTACCAGTAATTCGGGCTGGGCCTGTGCCAACACTAGTGGTGAATTGAAGCACATTTCTGCTTAATTTTGTTCAAAGATGGTTAAAAATGCAATGCAAACCCACCTGTAGTTTGTTGCGACCACCTTTTATTAAAGCTGTAACGATTTCTTCTACTTTATCAGGATCTCTGATGTGGATATTTGCTTTCTGGAATTCAGGAATCTACATAGATTAAGAAATAGTACACATGATGAATGCGGTTATATAATATAGGCATGCATACTGTATAATGTTTTCAAGAGAGTTAGGAGATATTTAGTTAATTTATTTACAAAAGCTGAAGATGTTGGTAATTGCTGCAAAAATCTCAAAAGACAAATTTAAATGCTCGTCAGCGGCCATACTTGATTTATTTGATCTACCTTGATCCTGAAGCTAAAGCATTAATGCTTATTCGCCCCTCTGTCCGATCCTCTTAAATACGGTGTCTGGTGGTGATTTATTAAAATAGGTCTATGCATTACAGTGCAGTAGTATTAGTAATACTCTGGACTAGCATTGTTTTAGTTACCATATGAGATTTTCCTGTGTTAAAAACATAATTTACTTCTTTATAAAGCATAACTTGTACTTTACAATAAGAGAAATCTGTATATTATCGGTACCTGGAATAGTAACAACACGAAAGTACTATGCTACTGCACTGTAATGCATAGGTATGTTTTAACACACTACTTAGATAGGCTTTTCTATTTCTATCTTGATTTCAGAGGTCAAAAGTTGTTTGGATACGACGCCCTGTTATGGAGTTATGATTTTTTTAATAACATGATGTCAGAAAATAAGCCCAAAAGCAAAAGCTTATCTTATTTTTGTTGGTTACGCACCGCTGATTCACAATGTTTGTAAAAAGTCCTTGCTTCAAATTCAATCAAGATGTCTACCGATTCGTGGAAAAGGCCTTGTCTTGTTAAACTGTTACGTAACGCAAACAGTTCAGTACCACCAGTACATAAAACAAGCAACAATAGGATACAATCAATACAAGTGGGCATCAAGCCCCAAGGCCAATCGAAGACCCAATCGAAGTGGTTCGGCCTAGGCCTACATTTACAGCTCCCGCCTAGCTAGCCTAGGCCTAGCTAGGCCCTACGTCGACGAGCCTAGCGTACTTACCATTTCGATCAGTCTTGTTCTCTTTGTTTTGCGACTACCGTTAAAGTAATACGTTACTAATGCAGCACCAGATAACACTACACCCGCCCCTACTGCTATTCTAAATGTGGAAGACTGCATCATTATGAAAATAGGGTTATTATTAATGTTTGGTTTTATAGTAAAGAAAGTGACAAAGCTCAACTCTGCCCTTTGAACACGAGATAGCAAGGAAAAACGATAACATGAAACGCCATTTGAATCTGATATACCTTGACTCTTCTTTCATGTTATTACAAAATATCTATAAAAGAAAAAACTAGGTTATTAATATTACAAATAAATACACAATATTTGAATAATCAGTGATTTTTTTTTTATTATGAAATTACGGGGTTTTTAAAATTTTAAATAAATAAATAAAATATTAAAAATTACTATCGGCCTTCCATAGGCAATAATTAACTGTACGTCAGTTTTTGATAAGCAAGTTACTTCGGGTGCGACAAAACATAATTTGTATTTTAATTGATTTGTTTATAATCCATCATGATTGATAAACTCCAGGTATTACTGGTGGTTGTAACAGTGTTGGGAATATGTAGTAGTGTAGAAGGTAATTTTGGTTTAAAAAAAATTGAATACCAATCAATTGTATAGGCCTAATATTTATTATTTAGCCTAGGTTAGGCCTATTCATCTTGACATTGATAGAGCACGGCCTGGATAGCTAGCTAGTCAGTAAGCTAGGCTAGGCCTTTCTGTGATATACTGTAACTGGCGACAGCCTATCCAGGCCTAAACTAAGACCGGGCTTATGTTAGTAAGATGTTCATATTTTATTTGTGTATTAAATAAATATTACCCCGTCATCCGTCATTTTTACTCAGTTTCGAAGGATGCCTACGGGATCAAGTAAACTTTTTCAGTACATAGGCCTAGGGGGATGCCTATAGGCTATATATATACTGTCTCTTATACACATCTAGGAATACTTGCTTGAAATACTGGCTCGTTTAGAAAGCTTTAAGCTTATAATGACCCATCCAATACAAAAATAAACAATTTCTTCTCTTCTGTACTGTTGGGGGATAATCAAGAAGAAAGGAAAGAGAAATATGCGTAGTATTGTCTTTATAAATGTGAAAAAGTAAATTTACACTGAAGTGTAGACCAATGTTGATTTAATGCAGATTTAAATATATTTAAACTAGAAGACATCACGACTTCTTGAGGAAGACTGTTCCAAGGATCAATAACTCTACTCTACTAGATCTAAAAGAATATTTTCTAACATCCAAACGAGGCATACTTTTATACAATTTAAGCTCATGACCACGAGTTATAGAATTCTTTTAATTTAAAAAAAATGTGAAATGTCTAGACGAGGGTTCCTCAATTATGCTTCATCGTCCCCCGCTATACACAGTACATCAGTAGGCTAGCCCCCCCCCCCACGCTACAGTACAGACGTTTGCTAAGCAACAGAACGTGATTGCACATTTCTTCCCCGGTGTTCATGTAAATTTGCATATTGTTAGCTAACCAGCTGAGTGTATTCCTTTGTGAAAATGAGTACCGCGGCATACTCATTTTCACAAAGCATTTGCATCCCCTCTTGGAAAGAGGGAACTTCGAAATAATTGTCTCCATATCTTCGCTAATTAATCACCGTAGTTTAGCTTACACTTATGCATGGAGGGAGCACTTAAAATGTACAATAATCATTTCACTACCTGACAAACCCCGAAATTTATTCATGAATTACATAAATAGTTTCATCTTCCTTTACTCCAACATCACTGGCGCATGGTAATAACCAACTGGCAGGCAATTTCCAGTCACACATTACTCTCCATAACACAGCACCCCCTAGGTCCATGTCCTCTGGATTGTCAATACCATTAGTATTCTATATACCTGGATCATGTCTGCCCTTAAACGTCAATATTCCAGAGTGGGAAGACCTAAAAATCCTATTCTCTCTGGATACATCAAATGACATATCTCGTATATTATTTTTGTTGCTCTTCACTGAACTGACTCAATTTTTTTAGTCAAACCAACATGATGTGGAGCCCAAATACAACCTTGGTCCCTAGTGTATGTTTGTTCGCTCCGCCGCTCGTAAAATTAACGTTCGCTTTGCTCCTATTTTATGTTGTACTTTATTTTAATATATAGATTGTACTTGGCAATGTGTGTATTCTAACAAAAAAAAAATCCATTTTGTTTTTTTACATATTTTATGGACAAGTCAATAAATGAATCTTGAATTCTGATTGAATGTTATTTATTTGTCCTAATCATTTACTTAATCTAATCATCCATGATACATTTTTACTGCTCATTTTCAGATAAAGGAAACAATTATGTTGCGGAAAATATTGGTAGACCAGGATGTATGCAGCTGCCAGCAAAATGTGAATTGCTGTGCCCCTATGGAAAAGATGTTGACATGAATGGATGCCCCACCTGCAGTTGTAGGGACTTGCCAAAAGAGTATCAAGGTGTGCCCTCTTTTAAAATACTTTTTTATTTACAGATTGGTAATCTTATTTTCTCCATTCAGTTTCACTTACTTTCAATGTAATCAACAGTAGTTTAGTTCACTTTTGAGGTTTTAGTGTTCTCATGTGCTTGTTACCTGTAGTTACTTGCAGTTTTTGTAAGTTTAGTGTTTTGAGAGAAGTAGAGTAAATAATATAAAATATAACATTTTTAAATTAAATATTTAAATGTTTGTCTCTTTTGACAGTGAACTTCGCATGTCCTATGCCCATGTGCTCCACACGCTGCAAATTTGGCCGTAAAGTAAATGATATGGGATGCGAGACTTGTACTTGTTTGAAAAGTTCCAGTAAGTAATTCATAAATATCTGCCTACTGAACCCCCACAGGGTGATGTAGCTCATGAAAGGGGCGTTGTCTTCTTGACATTGTGCATTAACTTTAGTTGTTAAGATTTTAATTAGCTGCCAAACTTGGCACAATGGTATTATTAGTTATCATATATAAGTGAAAATGTAAAAATGAAAATCAGCAAAAAAGCCGGACAAATAAAGTTGGGTGACCACCCATGAAAGACAAAAAAAATTATCATTTTAAGTTAGTTCTAACAAAATTATGCATGGGTGTGAAGAATATAAATGTAATGTTTCTACAGGCATGAATTGACTAATCTTTTTAAACAATTCTCCACAGCCATACCATAGAAGACAATGAACTGAATTTCAAGATGCTGACCGATACTTATCACCACCAAGCTGAAAGAAAACACATCTGTGTATAAAGTGCTAACCCATTTCCACAGAAACCAAAAAAATACATATTACAGTATATTGTCATTTGTATTGGCATCCTGCATGATAAAATGTCATTTAGCATAGTTCTTGTATGCAATATGAAACAGTAAAACAATTTTTTTTAAGTTTGTATTAAAATGAGTAGCTTGAGTTGAAACAAATGTTCTTTACTACCATTACATTTTGTACATGATGTTATTTATTGAAACAAAATTGACTTGCCTGATTTTATAAAACTGTTGTATATGTTCTGTTGTAAATTGTTAATGTAAAATGTTTGAGTTTGCTTTTCCAAGATGTGACTGACAGACAATGCTATTCTTTGTTTACATAATCAATTAAAATAAATAATCATTGGACAAATCACAGGTACATGGCACAATATTTGAAAGTATGAAAAGGGACTAAAAGTGTTTTTCTACAGTGTAATCACTAAACAGCAAGCACAATAGTTAAATATTTACAGTATTGACAAATAGATAAACAGTACACCTCTTCATGTGTGACCATTGTATGATCATATATACATTTAGCATGTACTGTATAAGCTAACATTACATTATTACAGTATTATACTGTTATTTTGATAATTGTTACTTCACGTTGTTAATGATTTCATATAATTTGTAACACATTTTAGGTTTCTTATTAATATTCCAATACAGTACGTTGTTATAGTAATTTTGTTCAGCTGCAGTATGTATCTCTTAGTAAAACAATTTAGAATTATATTTGATATATTTTTACAAAAATAATTTACATGACATTGTTATTGCCAAATAAAATATCAATGTGACATTTATGTCTGGGTTTCCTTTTATCGTGGTAATGATGTGTCGACGATGATGAATTCATAGAGGAATTAGTTAATTCCTCCATGATGAAATGAAGAGGATGACGACAATAATGACAATACCATGCTTTGTGCAACCTCTGCTACTTCCATGAATGCATCCCTTGTTACCAGTTACCTATGGGCCTGTTTCTGTTCAATTTGAAAAAATACCAGTTACATTTTTGCACAAGCTGAGGTGATTCGTAAACATATGTCCCTGTTCAATTTTTTTGCTATAAAAAAGCCGATTATCTCGCTGGGTGTTCGGGAGGTATGACGACACATTTCCCATAATGCTTTATGTATGCCTTCTCCAACAATTCAAGACCACCTTATTAAAGAACCAAATCACAATCAATCTTTTAACACAAAAGCTAACCTTAAGTTGAGACAACCCTGAGGACAACACCCCGGATTTGTAGGTCCAAAAGTTATCTCGAATTGGACGGCGAACTGTATATAATTATAATATCATTATACTATTATTATTATAGGTTTTTTTATTTATTATAAAAGTTTGACAGTCATAAAATTGCGCATAAAACGGTATGCACTATTTAGAATCTCCATCGTTACCCACGCGCATATCGTTCTGTTTTAGCAACACCTTTGCCACACAGTCTAGTAGGCCCTATACGGTACTTACAAAACCTGTTAAACTGCTAGCAATCTGACAGTTCCTTTCAATATTATTAACCATGTATCTGTATACTTATATACCATTTAACCCAGGTAAGTTTATTAGACCCGAGTTGCATAGAGGCACACATGTTTTGAAGTACTTTTATAACTAAAACAGTTTCCAATCTGCCTCCCTCCATAGTTATGATCCTCATCAAAATAGAAAACTAAGACAAAAGTATAAGGGGCTGGCACTAAACAAGGTGAAATTGTTGAATAAACTGCTAAATAATGTCAAAAACTTAACAACCGATAAAACTGAAACGTATGTTTGGCAGAAATGGAAACGAAGGTTGAAAGAAAATTATGTACAGTCTATGTTTTTATGCATAAGGAAAATCCTATAAAAGACGAAAAGGTCTATAGCCATAGATACTTTCTCAACAATCAACACATACTCTGCCACAGGCACATATGCTGATAACGGTCAGACAAATACTTCACACGTTCGTCTATCCATTTCTATCAATAATTGGACAACAAATAAGATTGATGAAAGCATGCATGTCTTCCAAATATCTTTATTACACATAAAAAGAATGGAGTGAGTCCGTAACGATGGCGGAACTGGGGGTCGGGGGGTTGTTACATTAAGAAAATTAGAATTCGGGAAAGCTCATTCCCGCCATCTAGGAATCAGCGTTTTTTTCGGGGAAGGACTCCATACCTCCTTATATTTTTGAGGTTCATCGATTCATGGTAAAAAAGAATACGTACGGTATGTATACCGGTACACACATAATAGGCTTATTTAAATAAGAATGAGAAAAATTTATCTGACCGTTTTCAATGGGGAAACCTTTTGATGAACTGAAAAGTCATTAAACGAAACTTCAGAAGTCGGGAAAGCTCATTTCCCGCCATTTATAAATCAATATTTTCCCGGGGAGAACTCCAACCCGCCTTTCTCATTGATTCATGGATTTCAAGAGGGGGAAAATCTTGAATTTTGAAGAACTTAAAAGTCATTAAAAGACACCTCAGAAGTCGGAAAAGCCCATTTCCTGCCATCTAGGAATCAAAATGTTCCCGGAGGAGACCCCCCTGGACCCCCTTTCTTTTTGGAATTTATCGATTCATGGAAAAAAGAATACGTTTACTGCCCCACCATGACAAAAGGAAGCAATTGATGTTTTCATTGCTTTGAGTAGCCTAATATAAGGAATATGGAGCATGTTGATTTTGTCCCCTTCCTCTTCTGGTGGTTTTTACTGTATTTTTAGTCTGTTACTTCCTTTTTGTGTTGCTAATTACTTGTTAATTAGTGGGATTTGAGC